TAATCGCGATATGTGCAAGTGACACATTTGGGAGGTGTGATGAGGGAAGAATGTACACAATGAATGGCAGGTCCTTAGGGAATACTGAGGAACAGAAGGACCTTGATTTACATAAGTATCAGTGGGAATAGACAAGGTGGTGAAGAAGGCATTCAGGATGCTTTCCTTCATTAGCAAGGGCTTAGAATATAGGAGCAGGAAGTCTTGTTATAAAACATTGGTGAAACCACAGATGGAATCCTGTGTGTAGTTCTGGTCGCCAGACTATTTGAAGGATGTAATTGCACTGGAGAGGATGCTGGGGAGATTCACCAGGATGATGCCTAGGATGGAAAGTCTCAGTTATGAGGATAGACTGGGTTTGTTTTCCCTGGAGCAGACAAGGCTGAGTGAGGATGTCATCGAGGTATACACAATTATGAGAGGCATTGACAAGGTAGATCGTGAAAAATTTTCCCCGTGGCAGACACATCTAAGACCAGAGGGCATAAGTTTAAGGTGAGGAATAAATGATTTAGAGGGCATATGAGGAAACGTTATTTCATCTAGAGGTTAGTAGAAATGTAGAATGCGTTAAGAGGGTGATGGAGGTAAGTACTCTCACTACATTAAAGAAGCATCTGGACGAGCACTTAAAATGCCATGGGCATCTACTGTGTAACAATGGAAGAGGCTCAGCGCTTGACTTTGACAACAGGTGCAAGCTACTTGTGTGGATGAGAACAAGCATTGTATGGTGGATGATTGAGTTGACCATAGCACCTTGCTCGAGGATACCATTCTAGTGAGAACAGTGAAAAAGAATATCATGACGATTGGGGCAGTATAACTAGGGGATTGATACTGTTCTCTGCATTCTTGACCAGGAGCTGCAAAGATTGTCCTGCCTACCCACTTGCAGGGTAATGGATATATCTTCATGACTGCAGGTGAGCATTGTTTCAGGGTGTGGTAATCCTGTTGTTTGGTCCACATAGGAACCAGTCACATGGATACAACTACGCTGAAAAAATTTGAGAAGGTGGGATCCAGATAAAATGCACAATTTCAGAGGTAGTCATTTCTGGATTATTGCCTGATCCACAAACCATTTGGCATATTGTCAAGTAGATTAGAGAATTAAATACATGACTGTAGGGTTGGTGTATGAAAAATGGTTTCATTTCACAGGGCACTACACCAGTATTCAGGAAAAAGAAAGCAGTTGCTTTGGGATGGGCTCCATTTAAGCCGGGCAGTGATTAATATCTTGATATGTTGTATGACTCGAATCATAGATTGGACTTTAAACTAACTGAGTGGAGAAAGATTTAAAAATCCTAAAGGATCATTTTAGACAATCGAACAGTAAAGCAATGTGGGTAAAGACAAACCTATTGGGACAGAAAGGGGCACAGTGTTTTAATAGTGATCGTCCAACAGTGAATAAGGCCCAGGTAAAGAATAATAATAAAGACAAAGGCCTTTTATCCAAATGCATGAAACATGTGACACAAACAGTGATAACTAATTTAGGTCTAATCTCCAACTCAGGCCTGATAGTAAGTATTACATAAGGGCAGCATCAAGATGGCTCAGAAGATCAGGAAGCAGGAATCAGTCTGGATGAAGATTAGGAATAGCAAGGATCAGAAAATGCTAGTGAAGATAGGGATCGTTAAACCATCAGTAGTTTTGTCAGACTGAGAATTAAATAAGAAATTATTTGAGTTTAATTCTGGGGGAGCGTAATCTTCCTATAGATTGGACCGATCAAATTGGCAAAGGTGCTTTGGAACCTAAATGTGTAGAATACTTTTGAGAGGGTGTCCAACATATTGTTCTAGGAAACAAACTAGGAATAAAACTACAGGCAGTTCCCAGGTTGCAAATGAATCCCATTCCTGAGTCTGTTCACAAGTCGATTTGTAAGCAAGTTAGGCCAATATAAAGCAGCCGTTTGCAAGTACAGGAAATGTTCATATGTCGACTGTTTATAATTTCACCCTGGTTTGGGATCAGTTTGGTAAGTACGAGCATTTGTGAGTCAGATGTTCTTAAATCAGGACCCTCTGTATTTTAATATAGTATTATGCAATCAGTTGTGGTTAAGTAATCATTTCCAAAGTTCTCCGATTTCCAGAACTGTGCCAGTGAATTCAGAATTACCAAATATAACAACCCTTCAGGAAAGGAGAAGTTGGCCTGTCAGCCCATGGAACTACCCATCAACCATTGGGATAGTCTGGGAACCTATTTCTAGAGACGTCATTGCAAAGCATTTAGAAAATCATATACAATTCAACATCAACATGGCAGTTGAGGGGGAAGTAGTGTTTGACAATTTTATTAGATTTTTGAGGGCGTATGGTTGGATTTACAAAAGGCGATCAATAAGTTATGATACAAAAGCTTTGTTTTCAAAAGGTTCATGGAGTTGGAAGTAATATATTAGGATTGATAAAAGACTGGAAGCAAAGAGGATGGATAAATGGGACATTTTCATGGTGATAGGCTGTGCGAAGTGGAGTGCTGCAAGGATCAGTGCTGGGGCCTCAGCTATTTACAGTCCATATTAATGACATAGACAACTAAGATTTTAGAGTAGATTTGTAGCTCGGGTTGTGGATGTTGTGGTTGGTTGGCTCGCCAAGCTGGTTCGTTGTTCCGCAGGCATTTCTTTACCCTGCTGGGTAACATCATCAGTGTAGCCTCCGAAGAAGCGCTGTTGTGTTTTCCCGCCTGTTATTTAAACTCTGATGTCCATTAAGCTGGATTACCTCACTTCCCGTTTTCTTTCGCAATGGACTGTATATGGGGTCTAGTTCTATGTGTTTATTGACGGCTTTCTTAGTGGAGTCCCAGGCTTCTAGGAATTCCTGTGCTTGTTTCTGCTTTGCCTGTCCCAGGATCCTGGTGTTGTCCCAATCGAATTGGTGGTTCTCCTTATCCATGTGGATGGAGATGAGTGAGTATTGGTCGTGTCTTTTTGTTGCCAGTTGAAGTTTGTGTACTCTTGTGGTTAATTTCCTTCCAGCTTGTCCAATGTAGTGTTTATCGCAGTCTTTACAGGGAATCTTGTATATGACATTGGTCCTGTCCATAGTGGGTAGTGGGTCTTTGGTCCAGGTGAGCAATTGGCGTAGGATTGATGTGGGTTTGTGTGCTACTCTGATGCCCAGTGGTCGTAGGAGTCTTGTGGTTGATTCAGATGTGTTCCTGATTTAAGGTAGAGTGGTGAGTGTGTCGGGGCATGTAGTATCTTCCTGTTGTTGTGCATGTAATAAGCATCTTCTGACCCAGTTTTTTGAGTATCCATTGTCTTTGAATACTTGGAAGAGGTACTCTTCTTGGCATAGCTCTATGCTGCTGCAGTGTGTTGTTGCCCGTTTAAATAATGTTCTCACGCAACTTCGTTTGTGTGTGTTGGGGTGGTTGCTGTTGAAATTCAGTATTTGGTCAGTATGTGTGACTTTCCTGTGTACCTTTGTTAGGAATTCCCCATTTGTCCTGCGTTCCACCATGACGTCCAGGAATGAAAGCTGTTTGTTCTTCTCCTCTTTGGTGAATCTGATCCCAGTGAGGGTGTTGTTTATTAGTTTGTGTGTCTCCTCTAGTTTGGTCCGTTTAAAAATGACGAAGGTGTCGTCCACATAGCGTATCCATAGTTTTGGTTGGATTAGCGGAAGGACCATACTATCAAGTCTCTGCATCACCACTTCAGCTATTATCTGGAGATAGGTGATCTCATGGGTGTCACGTTGATCTGTTCATATTTTTGGCAGTTAAAGGTGAAGTGGGTGGTGAGGCATAGGTCCAGTAGCTTCAGCACGTTATCTGTGGAGTTGGTGTCGCTAGAGCTTGTTCTTGTTTTAGTAGTGTTGTCAGTGTTTCTCTTGCTAGTGATTTGTCTATCAATGTGAATAGGGCAGTAATGTCAAAGCCACCCCATGGGTGGCTCAGTGCTTACCTCTGTTGCCTCACAGTGCCAGGGACCCGGGTTTGATTCCACCCTCGGGCAACTGTCCGTGTGGAGTTTGCACGTTCTCCCCGTGTCTGCGTGGATTTCCTCCCACAGTCCAAAGATGTACAGAGCAGGTGGATTGGCCGTGCTAAATTGCTCATAGTGCCCAGGGATGTTTAGGTTAGGTGGGTTAGACATAGAAAATGCAGATGTAGGGGAGTGGGTCTGGGTGGGCTGCTTTTCGGAGGGGCGGTGTTGATTTGTTGGGCTGAATGGCCTGTCTCCACACTGTAGGGATTCTATGATTCAGGGGAAGGTCCAACATAATTTTATTGAACTCTTTATCAAGAAATCAGACTCTGATTGTACTTTAATTAAACTCCGTCAAATGCTGTCAGTCTCTTCACAGGATTCTTCAGAAAACAGTCTTAAGTTTGTAAGTAAACAGTCTCAGATCTACACTAGCTATCTCCTTTTGACTCCCGCATCTGAGGATTTGCTACACCCTACCTAGCCACAGGTCCCTATGCTGTATTTGAACTGTTTGTCTGAAAAGATAGTAATACCCATGCAGTAAGGCTGGGGCAGACTGTTCATCAGTCCTTGAGGCTTTGCTGGTATTTCAGGTTCTGCACTCATCAGTTTGTCTTCCCCTCTCATCTAAATCTGGGTCTGGTCGTTGGGTCATCTTATGAGGTGATCTTCTCGGTCAAGTCAGTCAGTTGATGCTTAACATAAGATACAAGGAGTTGGAGACCCTGCGTAGCTCAACTGCCTGTCAAAAGTGCTCTCTGGAGATGCTCTTGAAGAAGGTGCCAAAGCAGAACGCTTAGGCTCAAAGTTGTACCTTTTATCTCCCTCGTTGTGCCCTTCTTGAAGATTTTGTGGACTGTGTCCAACATTAGCATAGGCGGGAGCAAGAGGATCCAATAAGGTGATTATCTTCCATATTTGTAGGTTGCAAAACATGGTTTTGAACCTTCAGCTGTCGCGTGCTGTCCCTGTCACAATATGCCTCTGGCCTCCTACTGAACTGGGTGCCTTCAAGTCTACGTAGCATTCGTCTAACACAGCAGGTTCACTGCAGGTAAAACAACGGTTTGTTCTGAAACAATGTACTCATTAGCACCTAGTCAAACAGTTCCAGGCCTGTCTGATTTTGATAGGAAGTTGATTGTCCAGCACCTGGCTGCATGAATGCTGTCCGTTCCCGTTCTGCAGTTTGCAAATTGCAGTCTGGCTAGGTTTAAACTAATTTTCCAAATGTCAAGTTTTTATCTCTGCTCATGAACAAATGTCAATATTTCTGTAATAATCCTGGAAACCACAGATCACAATAGTCAGTTACACTTCTCATCACTTTGATGATTGAGATTAGACAGAAAGTGAATTGGACAGTGATTAGCTGGATTGAATTTGTCCGGTCATACCTGGGCAATATCTACACTGGCAGGCTTTTATTGTAGCTATTTTGAAATAGCATGGCTACTGACATAACTAGTTCTCAAATCTTCAGCACAGCAGGTAGGATGGTGTAAGTGCCTCATTGGCATTTCTGTATCCAGTGCACTCAGCCAACTTGATATCATATGGAATGAGTCAAGATGGTTAAAGACTGAAATTTGTATTGCTGGGGACTTTGGGAGGAGGCTGAGATCCACTCGGGACATTTGTTTAAAGTCTTTTATATTGATATTATTGGGGATCAAGAAATTCCTTTAAAGAAAACAAAATATCATCATATTCTTCCTAGCATAACGAAACTTTGCCATATACTTTAGTGATTCTTAATGCAGTGAGGTAAATTTTTGTTTGCTAACAATCTTGTGGTTATTAAATATTTGAAGTGTTATGCTACTGCATATTAACTCTCTTGATTTTTTTTGCTTAATTATAGGTGTCATATTTGGCTAATGTTGTTCGCCTGAGTCAGTCTCCCGAGGCGTTATTTAATCACTGGGCATGGGAATTGGTTGTCAGGTTGAAGCTGTGTAGTAACCATCCATGCAACACCCAGGATCAGTCACCATTTAACAGCTCCTTTGCTGCACCTGAATTGAATGAGTCAGCTAACCTCCATCCTCTTTCTAAAGCTGTAAAAGCCGGCATTCCTATTGGTTGTTATCTTGCATTGTCAATGACATCAATAGGTCACAGGTATGATGTGAACAGTGTATGTCATACTCGAGAGCAAAACTAGCTATGCACCTTACGGAACTAAAAATAACAAAGAAGTACTGTCAATGTTTTCCAATAATCTTTCCAGTCAATCCAAATGCTATATCATTCAGCATGAGGGGTCAAGGAACAATTCTCTTTTGAGGCTTCTATGTCTTCTGCCTCACCTCTGGGTTATGTAGTACAACAACGCTGAGCTTCTCTTCAGTTATTTTGTCTTGTCTACTAATACAGTCACACTGTTTCACATTTGGGAATTATTTATGCAGAATTTTTTTCTCTGCTTTTATCTTTCCATGGGATGAGATTTTGCTGGCTGGGCCAGCATTTATTAATTATTCATAAAAGTCCTTGAGAGGTGGTGCTGAGTCCTTTTTTTGAGTCACAGCAAGCTAAGGTTTGTTTTTTATTATTCATTCATGGGATGTGGGCATCGCTGGCTAGACCAGAATTTGCTGTGTCCTCCTTCATTACCCAGAGGGCAGTTAAGAATTGACCATTTTGCTGTGGTCTCCAGTCAGATATTGCCAAACACAGTAAGTGTGGCAGAATTTTTTTCCCTAAAGGACATTCGTGAACCAGTGCTGCTAGGAACGGAGATTCAGGACTTTGACCTAGCAACAGTGAGGGAATAGCAACGTATTTTCAAGTCAGGCTGGTATGTGGTCATTGCTCGGTACCTGTGGAGCACAAACGTAACTTGTCACAAATCAGCCCAAGCCTGAATGTTGTCCTGGTTTTACTGGATGTGGACACTGACTGCTTCAGTATCTGAATACGCAAATGGTGCTAAAAAATTTGCACTCGTCAGCCAATATCCCGAATCCTGATCTTACAATGGAGTGAAGGTCACTGATGACCATCACCTTAATTTTGTTCGCCTTGTTGCTTCTGCTCCAAAGGCAATAATCCATGCTGGAGTTTGAAATTCTATGTATGTGTCAGTCTAGGCAACTAGCTATGGATGCTGCTACAACCAGCTATGATTCTGTGCTCCTCTTACATTGTACATAATATCCAATAAACAGTATGTTTGTCAATCAGGAATAATTTTTCCTATATAGCCTCTTAGGACACTTAAATAAAGACCATAAGAAACAGGAACAGGAGTAGGCTGTTCAGCCCCTCAAGTCTGCTCCACCATTCAGTAGGATCATTGCTGATCTGACATTCCTCATGTCTGTTTTTCTGCCAATTCCCCATAACCCTTGATTGCCCTACTGGTCAAGAATCTATCTATCTCAGCCTTAAATATACACATGGAATCTGCCCCCATAGCACTCTGTGGCAAGGTGTTCCAAAGACACGCAACCCTCTTAGAGATGAAATTCCTCATCATTTGAGTCATAAAATGGTACCCTTTTATTCTTCTAAGACTGTGCCCTCTGGTCCTAGACTTTCCAATGAGGGGAAACATCCTCTCAGCATTTACCCTGTCAAGCCCCTTAAAAATCCTATATGTTTCAATGAGATCACTTCTCATTCTTCTAAATTCCAATGAGTAGAGTCCCAACTTGGTTAACCTCTTTCTGTTTCTTTCTATGTCGTTGGTACCAACATGGACCACGATGACTGGATCTTTATCATCCAACTCCAAGTTACCCTGCAGCCCAGATGAGACATCCTAAATCTGAACACTGGGCAGGCAGCACTCAGAACTCTCAATCCTAACCACAGAGAACCGACCCTATTCTCTGAACTATACTGTTCCTGATTACAGCTGCATTTCTCTTTTCTCCCCACTCTTGAATGGCTCCATGTACAATGGTGTTATGGTCAATTTGCACACCTTCATTACAGTCCCTGCTCTCATCCATACAGGGACCAAGAATCTCAAACCTGTTAGACAAGCTCGAGAGTCTCTTCAGCACTACCTCCTGGATCCGTGTTTCTGACTTGCTTATTAACACACGCTCCTGTCCCTTATCACTGACTGAATTCAACGTAGTTAATCTGAGAGGTGTGACTGCTTCTGAAACACAACATCCAGGTAACTTTACCCTTCCCTGATGTTCGAAGCTCAGACTCCAGCTCATCAACTCTGAACCGGAGTTCTTCAAGCAACCAACAGTTGCTATAGAAGTGGTCACTATGAACCACAACCAGCTCCCACATCATGCAGGCACAACACAAAACCTTGCCCTGTATCTCTATTTTATTTAGTTGGTTCTTAATTAAATAAAGTTGTTTCTAAACCATGAGGTAGCTGCATTTAAAATGATGTAGCTGTAACATCCTTTTATGCATATGTGTACTGTGAAAGATGGAAATTAATAGTCATCATTGAGACACCATGTGCAAATGGCAAGTAACCCATCTGGTTATTTTAGTCTGACAGGAAAAAATATTGTGCCATGGCCTTCATCTCCATAGCAATATGTTAACATATTTGATGCCACTTTCTCCTGGAATCCTCTGTTAATTATATGCTGCAGTCCATAAAGAAGTTCAGCTGGCAGCTTAACTTGCAGGTTTGAATTAAAGGTATAAAATTGATGTAATGATCTTCTGAATCTGCTCATGTTTTAACATCTTTTAGCATTGACAAGTTCTGCTCTGAAGGAATACCTCTGCTGGGTGTACTAATACAGTCCAAACATCTTAAAGCAGTAGTCCACGTGTTGGATAAGATCTTGCCACTCTTCTACCCATGCCAATATTATCTTCTGAAAAATGAGCAGTTAAGTAGAAGCTAATTTACATTCTGCTTAAAAATAAAACTCTTCCATTCTTCTTTAGAATATATCTGTTGAGAATAATAACTTATAACTCCACAACAATTAGCAAAATTCTCTAAAGTCTCTCAATGTTGAAAGGCAAAACAGCTAATTGCTAAAATATAGTACAGTTTCTGTACATCATACTGACTTTAGATGTTACATTTCGTCAATACTCTTTTTAATGCACTTTGTTAACAATCTTGGATTAAATTCTATTTGAGTCATTTTTATTATCACCTGGATTTAAATGGTACAACTTGATTGTTTTATTAAACTTATAAGAATGTAATTTAGCTGTGAACATTAAGGTTGCAAAATTGCTTGATATTTATTAACTAATTCTGAAAAATTAGTCTATCAAATCATTCAAATTGTTTTAATTCGGTGAATTTTTTTGAATTTATTGTCTAAACTAGCATATTTGGACTATAGGATTCATCTTCAATAGTTTTTTTTGCTGCCTCAATTCTTCACTTTCCATTTCTAGGGAGGGGTTGTCTGCTAATACTCATGGGGGAGACTATGTCTGGGCACTGTAGGGCTGTTAGCTGCACTCGGGTCCAGATGGGGCTGGTGGTTCCCCGAATTGAGGTGTTTGGGGGTGGTGGGTGTGGGGTGGCACAGCTGCCCACACAGACAAGAGGTCTGGGGTTGTGTGGAGGCTTGAGGGGAGAGAGAAATCATCAAGGGAGACCTATGGGGAGTGGTGTTGGCAGTGTAAAGTTGGGGTACAGGGTGGTGGAGAGCTCAAAAGTGGGGCTGAACTTGTCTGTCTTCAATCTCAAAAGTTGCTCTGTACATTTTCCCAAGTAATGAATATTCTAAGTTATTATAACCTTTGAATTACCTGTTACTAATAATCTATCTGTATTAGTTTATGTTCTGTCTCAACAAGCAATGTAGTTGTGAATTATGACTAGGAAACTTAATTTTAAGCAAGTTTGAAAACTCATTATTTCTTATTTCCTCCACTTCAGGTTTTTAATGTATATGCAGCTTTTTCTTCAGACTGACAGTGGTGTACTTCAAGGAATGACTCAGCAAGTGACCCAGAAAGTAGCACAACATTTGACTGGCATCAGCTATGGAGAAAACATCAAACTGTTAAACAGTATGATCCAGGTATAAGTAATTAGATAATGTTCATAAAGGATTGACACAAGAAATTATCACTTGAAGAAAACTGACTTACATTTATGTAATACCCTTCACTGACATCAAAATGTCTTAAAGTATTTTATGAAGTGTCATCATTGTTGTAATGTACTTGTGTCAGATGTTGCCACAGATGCAAACACTGCCACTTTTAACCAATAATCAGCCAGGATTGGATTAGCCTCAAAACTGTCTGTGCTTGCCATCATTTCTCCTTTGAAAAGGACAGAAACTTCCAGAGTCTACAAGTGCAATTAAACATAGAAATCCAAAGGTTGCTGCCAGTTCTCCAAAGGATCCCCACAGACTGTAATTATTTAGAAACTATTAAACCAATAAGAAATTGCTCTTCTGAATTATTAGTCTTGAAATAGAACCTTTAAAAAAAACAGATTTTACCAACAAGGCACATAAGCCACATCTGGCAAGACACAGAGCTGCTGAAATGAAGCCTTTGTTGTGTAATTAAATTTCTAATAACACACTAAATTCATTATCGCTATTGAGAAACCTCTCTGGCTGTGGAAAATAAATACAATACTTGTAGATTGTTGGATTTATCCATTATGTTTCCAAAGAATCCAATTTTTTAAGTTTGTTTGACATTTCAACTTCACCTTTCATACTACCCCTCCACCTCAATCATTTGTTTCACTCACTATGAAATTTAAAGTGAAGATTAATCAGAATAGTTAACCTGGTTTTGTGTGTGAGAGAATACTTCAGTGGTGTTTGTTTGCTTGATGCCATTACTGTAGCTGGACAACCACCTTGATCTATACTAAGTTAATACTTACTGTCAAGAAAGAGAAAATCCACACCAGAGATCACTCATTTTTGTGGGCATCTTTCTTGGAAGTCGACAGCAACCACCATCCAATGTATGATTCCATTCTGGCTGCACTTTCTGTTTAAAAGCATTTACCCCATTAAACTAGGTCTGTTGTTAACACACTATCAGCTAGATGCTACTTAATAATGCATAACCTTACATGCATTGTGCAAAATTACATAAAGTCAGTATAGCTATTTTATGGTTGGATTTCTTGTGTAGCTGAACATTTAGTATAGAGCCATAGAGATATACAGCACGGAAACAAACACTTTGGTCCAACTCATCTATGCCGGATATCCTAAATTAATCTAGTCCCATTTGCCAGCATTTGGCCCATATCCTTCTAAACCCTTCCTATTCATATATCTTCCAGATGCCTTTTAAATGTTGTAATTGTACCAGCCTCCAACACTTCCCCTGGCAGCTCATTCCATACACGCATCACCCTCTGCATGAAAACGTTGCCTCTAAGGTCCCTTTTAAATCTTTCTCCTCTCACCTCAAGCCTATGCCCTCTAGTTTTGGACTCCCCCACCTCTGGGAAAAGACCTTGTCCATTTACTCTATCCATGCACCTTATGATCTAATAAATCTCTAAGGGCACCCCTCAGCCTCCGACACTCCAGGGAAAATAGCCCCAGTCTATTCAGCCTGTCCCTGTAGGTCAAACCCTCCAACCCTGGCAACGTCCTTGCAAATCTTTTCTGAACCCTTGCAAGTTTCACAATATCTTTCCTATAGTAGTGAAATCAGAATTGCATGCAGTATTCCAGTAGTGGCCTAACCAGTGTGAACAAGAAATGCCATGGCTACAGGAACACATTAGTAGCTCGGCATTCTGTGCTAAGCAACTCACTTTCTAACTTCTCAAAACCTTTGACCATTTATATGGTAGAGATCAGGAGTGTGATGGAATAGTCTCCATTTTCCTGGTGTGCTGCAGCTCCAAAAACATTGAAAGTTTGATACCAGTCAGGACAAAGTAGCCGCTTGATCAGCACCCCATTCTCAATGTTAAGCATTAGATCCCTTCACCACACCACACTTAAACTTCAGTTTGTGTCAGCTACAAAATATACGGCAGTAACTTTGGAACAGGTCTTCCTCCCTGGAGAGATGGTGATATAATGGTAACGTCACTAGGCTTGTAATCCAGAGGTTCAGGTAAATGCTTTGGGAATGTGTAGAAATCTGTTGGGCAGTTGGGGAAATTTAGATTCAGTTAATAAATCTGGATTATAAAGTTAGTCTCAGTGATGGTGACAGTGACCGTTGCAATTGAGTGTTATAAAATCCTGTCTGGCTGGCTGATTGTTCTTTAGAGAAGGACATCAGCCAGCTAGCCTTGGTCTGGCTGCCATCTGACTCTAGATCCATATATTTGGTTAACTGTTACTGCCCTCTTGACTTGTCTAGTAAGCCAGACAATTTGAGGGCATTGAGGGATAGGTGACAAAAGACCAAGGACACTACCAGTGTTACCCATGTCCATGAAAGAATTAAGAACCTCCTCAAACTACAGTCTGAACTACCTAGGAAGAAGATAGAATCTCAGGTATCATCACCCTCAAAGGGCTCTTCCAAGTCATATAACCACCCCCTAACTTGGATCAATAATCTATCTCCCAGCAGCATTCTACATTCACCACATGAATTGAGACAGTTCAAGAAGGTGGATTGCTGCCACCACCTTGAGAACAGATAGGAATAGGCAGTCAGTGGGTCACTAATTCCCAAATCCCGTAAACTTTTTTATATAAAAAAGACCAGATTCTTTCAAAATATTCGGCACGTCAGTCAGCTGAGCTTTTGCAGTATTTCCACTTAATCTCTTGCAAACAGATACTATTGTGTCAACATGGACACAGGACATTTATTCAGTTATGGGAATAGCTCCACAATAGCTCCATCCAAATTCTGGTTGCTTTCCACTTAGATTAGTTGCTACTATTCTAAGAAATACAAGTATTTGGATGTACTAATTTATAAACAAATCCTAATAATTTCACACATGATCCACATGAAGCTTTTGTCCCTGTTACTGTAAATATCTTAACCTCACAAGTTTTACTCTTAACATATTTTCAGTTTGAAAATCAGCTTCTTAATCTCTAAATTTTTCAGCACATCATTGAGTTTTTCTAAATTTTTCCTTTTACTAATTTGGACTCCAAAAGCAAAACTCTATCTTTTAAGTTTCAGTCTTTTTAAACACACATGTAACAAGTTATAATGAGAATTTTAATAAAGTTATACTCATTAGCTGGTAAATACTTTCCTGGCATTAAATAATGAACCAGACAACACAAAATAAAACTTGTTTATCCTTGCAACATACTTGAATTTTCCTTCTTCCCAGATAGCATTCCTGAGCATTTATCAGGAGTGTGGACTGCTGCAATCAAAGGGGGATTAGGGAGAGACAATAAATGCTGGCCCAGCTAGTGATTCCCACATCCTGTGAATAAACAAAAAATAATAAATTACATCTGAACTGTCAGCCCTTTGGTTTAAAAATATCAGTTGAACTGCTTAAAATTAGTTTTAAGATGCTGAGGTTTCCCATGGTTCAAAATACGGTCTTCAATGTCAAAGGTTTTGTTCTGTATGCTCCAAAAGATGGTGTCAAAATCGAATATTACAAAAAATGCTACATAATATTGGAGTGAAAGTTCAGACATGGCTCAGCAGGTAGCACACACTCTTTGGTTCGAAAGGTTATGAATTCAAGTCTCACTTCAGGATGTGAGCACAAAGATCGAGGCTGACACTCCTGCACAATACTGATGGAATAGGGAAGTGCTACCTTTCAGATGAGAGATTAAACTGTAGACCAGTTTGCCTTCTCAGGTGGATATGACAGAAATCCTGACACTATTTCAAAGAAGAATGGGGCAGCTATACCTGGTGTCCCAAGCAATGTTTATTTCTCATTATGCAATTCAAAACAGATTACATAGTCATTACCACATAGCTACAATTTGCTGTGCAAAAATTGGTCTCCATGCTGCTTATGTTATTGCAATGACTATTCAAAAGTACTTAATTGGGCATAGTGATTTTTCACATGAGGTCATGAAAAAAATATATACTTC